TAAAATCTAGTGGAACCAATTGCCTTCAGAAGTCACCTAATTAGTAAATAGAGTCCAAATAAATATATAACCTCCTCCACTACAATCCCCTCAAAAAGTCACACTTTCTCCCTAGAAAGTTCACTAATAATATAACCTTTTTGTGATATACCATAAAATAATCATATTATAACACATTAAAAATTAAAAAATTAAGATTAAACCATAAAGTGTCCAATACCAATAAAGTGTCCAAAAAGTCCAAAATTTCAAACTTTCATCCAATAAGAAGGATTGGCTCCTATTTAATCCGGCGAAAACCTCAAATTAAAGAAATACTATAGTGCATTTCCTTTTATACAAAAAGAATAATTATTTGGTGCAAATCACAAACCACTCCAAAAAAAGTGTCCAAAAAGAAAAAAAAAAAAAAAAAAATAGTAAGAAAAGTAATTCCTTATATGTGCACATATAACACAAACTATGAACTGTGAACACTCTGTGATCACTGCAACACTGTGTACACACCATGGACCAGCACCCAATAGTGCTAAATACTATTACCCTCTGTAAGTATTAATCAGCTTATCAATACTATGGATCAAAATCCTCCATTCTCTCTTCAAAGATAATTTTCCAAGGTCCTCAGAAAGACAAGAAGGGTTTTAAGACTGATCTTCAAAGCATAGGGAAAATTTAATAGTAACTTACATTAAAAATACAGAGATTCCAGCTCTGACCATGGCTCCTGTACAGGCTTCAAACAATGCAGAAAACCATGTGTAGATAACCAACAAAATGGCCGCGGCGACACTTCCGGTTAGCGTACGTGCGTCTTGACGTCACTCCCCTAACGAAGTCCGAAAGTGACGAAATGCGTTAGAGGAGTGACGTCAAGACGCACGTACGCTAACCGGAAGTGTCGCCGCGGCCATGGTGGTGGCAGCATCATGTTGTGGGGATACTTTTCTTCAGCAGGGACAGGGAAGCTGGTCAGAGTTGATGGGGAGATGGATAGAGCCAAATACAGGGCAATCGTAGAAGAAAACCTGTTAGTCTGCAAAAGACTTGAGACTGGGGTGGAGGTTCACCTTCCAGCAGGAGAATGACTCTAAACATACAGCCAGAGCTACAATGGAATACTTGAGACTTTATTGGTATTGGACACTTTATGGTTTAAAATCTTAATTTTTAATGTGTTATAATATGATCATTATTTTATGGTATATCACAAAAAGGTTATATTATTAGTAAATAGAGTCCACCTGTGTGTAATTTAATTTCTGTACAAATACAGCGGTTCTGTGAAGCCCTCAGAGGTTTGTTAGAGAACCTTAGTGAAGAAACCTCATCATGTAGGCCAAGGACCAGACAGGTTAGGGATAAAATTGTGGATAAGTTTAAAGTAGGGTTAGGTTATAAAAATATATCCCAAGCTTTGAACATCCCACAGAACACTGTTCAAGCCATCATCTGAAAATGGAAAGCGTATGGCACAACTGCAAACCACCAAGACATGGCTATCCACCTAAACTGAAAGGACAGGCAAGGAGAGCATTAATCAGAGAAGTAGCCAAGAGGCCCATGGTAACTCTGGTGAAATAGCAGAGATCCACAGCTCGGGTGGGAGAATCTATCCACAGGACAACTATTAGTCTTGCACTCCACAAATCTGGCCTTTATGGAGGAGTGGCAAGAAGAAAGCCATTGTTGAAAGAAAGCCATAAAAAGTCCCGTTTGCAGTTTGCGAGAACCCACGTGAGGGACACAGCAAACAAGCAAACTTAACACTGCACATCACCCTGAACACACCATCCCCACCGTGAAACATGGTGGTGGCAGCATCATGTTGTGGGGATACTTTTCTTCAGCAGGGACAGGGAAGCTGGTCAGAGTTGATGGGGAGATGGATAGAGCCAAATACAGGGCAATCGTAGAAGAAAACCTGTTAGTCTGCAAAAGACTTGAGACTGGGCGGAGGTTCACCTTCCAGCAGGAGAATGACTCTAAACATACAGCCAGAGCTACAATGGAATACTTTAGATGAAAGCATATTCATGTCTTTAAAATGGCCCAGTCAAAGTCCAGACCTAAATCAAATTGAGAATCTGTGGCAAGACTTGAACATTGCTGTTCACAGACGGTCTCCATCCAATCTGACAGAGCTTGAGCTATTTTGTGAAAAGGCTGTTTGCTCCTGTCTTCTTTGATCCTCCCCTTCTTTTTTTTTTTTTTTTTTTTTTTTTTGGAGGGTGCATGTGATCGGCATAGAGCCAATCAGTGCTGTCCTGGCAGAGGGTCAGAGATGATGCAGCCTCATAGGACAGTCAGAGGAGAATGAAAACTCGTCCTACAAGATTAACCAGTGCTTGGCCAGACACTGATAGAAATCACAAGACTGCTATATACTGCTGATGAGAAAAAAATATTTAGCCATTTTACTAAAATAATTGTACTGTGGAAGACTGGATATAGTGAATGCAGGGTCACCGGTTTATTAACACTTTAAATACATTTTTGATACCAAACTCCCAGTATATCCTGGCATCAAAACCTACATCAAAGCAGTGTTTTGTTTCTTAGTGCAAACAAAGGGATCACCACTTAGAACTTGAACTGATTGCTGAGTGGCATGTGAGCTATTAAATGATGTAATTTTGAAGCAACTCACTGTAAAAACAATGGATTGGTAGCGATCACAACTCCAAGAAAGATGGCAGAATTTGCCAACTCTACTCATTTAAACTTTCTTTTCGAACCTTTTGGATGACCATATTTTACTCCATTGTTCCTGTCGAAATTGTTTTCACTTTTTTCTCAATCCCCAGAGAACAAACTAACTTTACCCCAATATGCAAAAATATTCAATCTATAACTAAGTGGTGTGATGAACAAATCTACATCCGTCCAAAAAAATATCAAAGTGACAAAAGTCAATGTGGGTAAACAAGCAATGTGTACGTGGCACTACAAGACACAGCAGTATCATGTTCAATTCCAAGCAGGTGCTGTGAAATCCAGCAAAACAGTCCACCACCGCTATGCACTCACCAGAAAGCTACTGGTATAGTAGCAATGATATTGACCCCTCAAGTAGAGACTCGGAATCTTCGACCAAAAGGACTTCTAAAGAAGAGAGCTCACCACAAGAGCCCAGAAATTGATTATATAGCGTAGTACTCAATCTGCGAATTCGCAGATTAGGATAGCGCAAAGGAAAGTTATAACCCTTGTCAGATTTTCTTTTTTTCTTTGCCTTCTGTGTCCTATTGCAGAGATTTCACTTCACTACCTGTCCCATACACCAAACAGGAAGTGAGAGGAAATCCCTGCAAATAAACCAGTTGCCCTCCTGAGGATTTACCCCCCTTCCTGACTAGGCCGTTTTTTTGCGTTGCATTACTTTAACTGACAATTGCTTGGTCATGCAACGCTGCTCCCAAATTACCCCCCCCCCCCCCCCAACAAATTGAGCTTTCTTTCAGTGGTATTTGATCGCCTGTGTGTTTATTTTTTGCGCTATAAAAAAAAAGACCGTCAATTTTGACTTTTTGCTATTAAACATACCCAGTAAAAAAATCAAATTTTGTCAACATTTTAGGCCAAAATGTATTCTGCTACATTTCTTCGCTAAAAAAAAAAATCCTAATACATGTAAATGAATTGGTTTACGTGAAAGTTATAGCGTTTACAAATGGCGGTATATATACTGGGATTTATTTTTTTATTTTTACTAGTGATGGCGGTGATCAGCGACTTACATTTTTTTTACTAGTAATAAAAGATGGCGATCAGCGGCTTATTGCTGGACTGCGTCTGGCATTCTGACACTGGGGGAAACTGACTTGGTGTCACCGACATCCCCAGTGACACCAATACAGTGATCAGTGCTAAAAAAAAAAAAGCACTGATCACTGTACTAAGGGCACTGGGCAGGAAGGGGTTAACATGAGGGGCGATCAAAGGGTCAACTGTGTGCTGTTTGATGTGTGTGTGCGCGTGTGTACGTGCGCGCGCGCTTCACTGTAATAGCACTGCTTTGGATGGCTGTGCTGTGCACAGCCATCCAAAGCAGTGTGCACAAGCTGACAGGGAGGAGAACTGTATTGTTTTACATACAGTTCTCCTCCCCGTCGGAGATGCCCAGTAATTTCCGGCTGGGACTTGGTTGAGTGATGGCCGCAAATGGCGGAGCGGGTGGGACACACGCACCCCTTTCCAGGAATGCAAAACCACGTATATATATGTGATTTTTTTCACACCCATGCCGCCCTGTAGCAGTATATCTGCTATAGGGCGGTAGGGAAGCGGTTAAGGTAATTCCTTGGGGACCCCCAGGTCACCCGAACTAGTGTTCCCATGGGAAGATTTCCTCTCTTAGTTTTATAGGGACAGCCTAAAATTTGGAGTTTCTTTTACATTCACTTTCAATGCTAATAGTAAACAGGACAAATAGGGAGGGTGAATCTCCCTAACGGGGGGCACAGACGGCAGTAAATACTGACATGCATTCTAATCCCTTTGCACTCTATCCAAAACATAAAAAAAAAAAAAGTTGTCCTTAGTTATACTTTAAGTAAACTGTGGTGCTCTGAATGTTATTTGGCATGTATTAAATATTAATTTTTAAGGTAAAGATTGTATATTTACAGGAGAAAAAAAAAACAGATATAGCACATAAATATATATACTTTGTGAAAAATGTGTGAAGTTTAATTTGTTTGGTAGCATTGGAAATGTAAATCCCCATCAGATCCTTGCTTTCTATGTTTCGCACAGCAGTAAGTGAGAGGAAATCTCTTCACAGTCAGGGGAGATCCCTTTTTAGATGGGTGTCCCATTTGGTTATCAACACTCACCAATACCTGTTCTAGAGAGAACGTGTACATTTGGGATTTTTCATCACTTTCTGCCCTGTGTGTGTATGTGGTCACCTAGACAAATTGATAGAATGACTCTCCCTATCAGTCACAGTGAATGAATGATTGATTTCATTTTTTTTTTCTCCCCTTTTCCATAAGGTTCCTCACTGTTTGATGACTTGAACAACTTAGTTGATGTTGATGGCGATTTATTTCAAGATGGAGAATGCAGTATCTTTGTAAGTATATAATCTTAGACTGAATGAGTGCAGTATTTGGGACTCGGTGAATGCCAACTACAGTGGGTATAGAAAAGAATCACCCCCCCTTTTAAAATATTCACATTTTGTTGCTTTGCAGCCTGAAATGAAGGCACACAGTTTTTGTTGTATCCATCTATATTTACTCAGTGCAACTTATACCATCCACGTGAAAGATATAATACCAGCATGTCAGAAAAAAAAATAGAAAAATTCAGAAACAGAATCACTGAGTTGGAAATACAATCACCCTTTGTGTCTGTATTTTGTTGAACCGCCTTTTGCTTTCACTAGAGCCTTTAGTCTGTTAGGATATGTCCCTAGTAACTGCACATCCAGACTTGGCAATATTTTCCCACTTTTCTTTGCAGAACTGCTGAAGTTCAGTTAAATTTGATGGTGACTGTGGACTGCAGACTTCAAATCATTCCACAGATTTTTGGGGTTTAGGTTTGGACTCTGACTTGGACATGCAAGGACCACTTTTTTTTTTTCTTCTTCAACTACTGTGTGGCTGTGTGCTTTGGGTCATTGTGATGTTGGAAGGTAAACCTTCCCATTGACAACTTTCTGGCTAAGGGCAGCAGATTTCCCTCAAGAATTTGCCGTTATTTTGCCCCATCAATTCTTCCTTCTATCCTGACAAGTGCTCCAGTCCCTGCTGCGGGGACCCCCCCCCCCCATAACAGGATGTTGCCACCTCCATGCTTTACTGTAGGATTGATGGTGTTTGGATGGTGAGCTGTATTGGATTTTTGCCAGACATGTTTAGTGTTGTGGCCAAGTAATTGAATTTTAGTCTCATCTGACCATAATACCTTTTTCCATGTGGCCTTAGAATTTTCAAGATGCGTTTTGGCAAAGCTCAGTGAAACATTTTTAAGTGTAAACATTCATAGATCCAAGTGAATGACCTAATCTATATCTAAAAACAGATAAACATAATGTGCGATGTGAACTGTAGAAACCAATGACTATCCCTTTAAATAGAAAAATATTACTGCAATAGTGCTCACTGTCTCTTTAAATATCAAAATAGAGCAATAAGCCCTAAAGGTATGATTCAAGGTGTGAATCGGCAGAAAAATGTATTCTATAACCACAGTGAAAACCAAAACAAAAGTTCCTATGAGTTCTACATCTTGTGCATCCAAGTGAATTTTGCTCAAGTGATATGCAAATCTAGCATGTTAGCCAGCACCAAACACACTGCACTCACCAGAGAGTATGGCTGCTTATATTACGGATAGCACAACCACGTTATATGTATTCCTCAAGACACAGACCATAACCTCCATCTGGATGGAATAGTCCTTTTAAGGATAATGGTTCTCTGGTAATGGCATCCAAGGTGTTCGCTTTGACGTATAGCCAGCACAGGTATGATGGAACTGGAGGAGAAAATACTCACCACAAGAGCCAAAAGTACTCATATAGTGTAGTACCCTTTTATTAAAACTTGTAGTATCCAGTATAACAATAAGCAGTGAGGTAAAAACCTACTAAGATGGCCACCACATGTGATTCTTTTGCCCCTGAAGATGCGGTTGAGTGTGAAACACATTGGCTCTATCTTGGAGTGCATAGACTCACATGTGGCAATCATCTTAGTCTTGGACACACAAGCTATAGAACTCATATTTAGTTTACACTGCGGTTATAAGATATATTATCCTTTTTTTTGTTTTTTTTTTATTTGCCGGTTATTTACTTTTTTTAGGGCGTATTGTTCTATTTTGATATTTAAAGAGACAGTGGTCACTATTGTGGTAACATTTTTGTATTTAAAGGGATAGTCATTGGTTTCTTCTTTTTGCATTGCACATGATGTTTATTTTGTTTTTGCATAAACACTATATATAGTATTGGGACACCCCCTCCAAATCATTGGATTCAGGTGTTCCAATCACCTCCATGGCCACAGGTGTATAAAATCAAGCACCTAGGCATGCAGACTTCTACAAACGTTTTTGAAATAATGAGTCATTCTCATTAAAAAAAGCCATATGCTCTTTCAGTCTAGAGAAAAAGTCTAAATATCTAGTAAATCATTTTATGTAAAAAGGTTACTTGACAGTGATATTGTTCCAGTTAGAATACTGTCAAAATTATTTTTAGAAAAATTGGGACTTGCTATAGGTGCTCAGGTCAGACTAATTTGGTGCCTGTTCTCTAATCCTAGTTTATTTGAAGTTATGTTAAACCTTGAAAGCAAAAATTCCCTTTTTACATTTAAGCTTCATCCTATTAGTGTAAAAAATATTTTTTTTGGGGCCCCCAATCCTTATCTCTTGATCTTCTTCTACTTCTTCTTTCTTCTTCCTCCCACTGGTGCTGTGCCCAGCCGGAACATACATAATAGGACCCACTGGCTCTGCCTGGCTGGCATGTGCAGTAGGGGCCCCTGTTTTTCTGAGATCTAGCACTCTGGCCTGCAGGAGCATGTGCACTACTGTGCTTTGCTGGCACAACGGCACCTTACTGCGCAAGCTCCAACCAGGCACAGCAACAGATCTTGGATCACTTACTGTGCATGACCAGACAGTGCTAGTGGCCTCTATGATGAATGCGCCAGGCACAGCTCTAGAGCACTGAAAAGCAATAATCCGTAGGGTGCATCCATGCCGCATGCAAGTCAGTAGAAGAGCACATGTCATGGTGTTACTAGGAGGTCACTGGAGACAAAGGAGGCACCCTTTAGGTGATAGCTATAGAAGTCTGCACAAAACTGCAGTCAGAAAGCAGTGGTGACGTAAGGTATGCAGCTACATTTATTCATTATTTTTTTTATATGAAGAATTAATATCACTTTAATTTTTCAAAGAAACACTTTAATTTATGGTGTGTGTTTAAAAATATACTGTATAATCATGGCTTGGAAGAAAGTGAAAATGGGTGACCCCACATTTCATTTTTGTGTCCAGGAATGTTTTCAGCTCCCCTTCTAACTATTAGGGTCACCAGGGATTTTGTAAAGGTGGACCTACAGTACTAGAAAAAAAAACACATTTGCAGAAATATACCATATACAGCAACTGTATAATTTTTCAGAAAGCTGTGCCCTTTTCTAAAAGTAATCGCTGAGCTCCAGTTAGGTGCTTGTGCCCCGGTTGAGAGGATGTCATCAGTCAGCTTTTTGCAAAAGGAAGCATTTTGTTTCCTCTCCTTCAGAGTTCATTTTGTGTTATTGTGTAGCAAGCTACAGGGCGAGTGTTTTGAAGGATGAGACTGATCTGGGTCATACAGTAGTAAACAATGAAACTGGTACAAACATCTGGATTTACATGAGTATGTCAGAGCCACAATCTCAGTCTCTAGGAAATAGATACTGGTCCTAAATGAGGCATGAATCAAGAAACTGCCATCCTTCTGACTGGAGAATCCGGGGAACGCATTATCGTGAGGACTACTGTGTTTTCTGTGAAAAGTAAAAACCTCCTGCACCTTACACTTAAAATGTATGTTAGCAAAAACTTTATTTAATTTTTGATAGAGTAGAGAAGAGTAGGGTTAAAAGCCTTGCCAGTTTTTTTTTTTTTTGGTACTCTTAAAGGGAAATTCCCTTCACTTCCTGTCACAGAGATGCTGCATGAATATAGTGGATTTCCACTCACTTCGGGAGATTTCTACTATTCGATTACTGTTTCAGGGACGCGTTATTCCCCTTTTTCTCATAGCCTTCTTTCTTAAAGTGATTCTAATGGCTTGTTTTCTTTTAAGAAAAAAAATCACAAACCTGTATACTTACTGGCTGGCTATGTGCAGTGGTTTTGCATAGAGATGCCTGTATCCTCCTCTTCTCGGGTCCCTCGCAGGCTCTCTGCTCCTCTCTCTTCTCATTGGCTCACTGGCTGTGATTTGACAGCAGTGGGAGCCAATGGCTCCCGCTTCTATCTTAGCCAATGAGAAGAGGGCGTTTCGGGATAGCCGAGACTCCAGTGCATATCGCTGGATCAAGAGAGGGCTTAGGTGAGTGTTAGGAAGCTGGGGGGGCTGCTGCACACAGGTTTTTTTTGCCTTCCTGCATAGAATGCATGAAGGTAAAAAAAAGAACCTTTTAGAGCCACTTTAATGACGGGTCATCATTCTAAATGGAGTGGTAAATCTCCCTAATGGGGTCTCAAACAGTACTAAAATTTAACAGAAGGCCTTTTCTCACTTTTCCAAAACTTTAAAAAAAAAGATATACTTTAAACTTTTACTAAGTATGCACACATTCAATGATGTTCAGTCTACTTGGAAGCATAAGAGCATGTTTGGAAGCTTGACAGCATGACCGCCAGGTAATTATCATACTACAGCCATATTAAAAAAAAAAAAAAAAAAAAAAAACTTTGCTTACGACTAATAATAATTCCATAACCAGTCTGTTTTATGTTTTCCCAAGGATTACAGTATGCAACAGATATGGACAGTAATAGTTTTTTTTTCTTTCATGTGTTACAGGCAGACAATTTTGATAATCTGGACTTTACTACAGACCTAATGTCTTGGAATGCTCACCAATTAAATGAGCAATGTTTCACAGGTATGGAGTTGAGATTATATAAAAAAAAAAAAAAATGTATAGCTGAAAAACAAAAATATAATATTTAGTGCTGCCATTAACATTCATCCTGAATAGGGTGAAACACTCATTTATGTCCATGGACTCTGTGTCTCTCATCTCCATTGACTGAAAGCAGAGGAGGCCTTAGAAATCTAGTAGATCTCTAGTCTTTCTGTAAAGAGGACCTGTTGCTATTATCACAAAGTGTTTGCAGACCACCTGGTGATATTAATGAAATGACTTATAAAACATTTGAAAGTGTACATTTTTAGTGCAGTGACACTTACTGGGATGTGTTTCTAATATCCTCCCCTCTCTAAGTCTTATACTTGCATATCTACAATTCATAGCTGTGTGGCCCTGGGGTTGCACATTCATGTTGCAGTCTGAGCTTACACCTGAAAAGACCTTCGCAGACTTGTTGTGCAACACTTCTAGATATTCCTACACATCCCAGAGATAAGAGAATGTAGGGCATCATATAGGTTTAACTTGAAAGTGATGAGCTGTAATGTTTTTTTTTTTTTTGGTAAACAAGACTACTTCTATGTAGGCTCTTCTGACTAATATCTCCATAGCTCCAAAAAGAGCAGAGGAAAGCGATACTCCTATGTGTTAAAGTTGGAACCTATTTAGATGCACACACAAAAGATACAACAAGCCTAGAGTCTACGTTTCATGATAGTACAACAGACCTGCACTAATCCTTGAACATTAAAGTGGTAGTAAAGTCCTCCACGCTGATTTATACCTACAGGTAAGCCTATAATGAATATAGGGGAAATACGCTCAGGTTCGATTTAACGAAGCCACACCCACAATTCAGCGTGGCATGCAAAGAGTGCCATTTTATGTCATCTTGCAAATTTTATTTTTCTACCCTCCCCCCCCAAATAAAAAAAAATAAAAAAAAGACCCCACCAGGTGTCAGATGTACTAGGTACTCCCACTGAGTATTTGTACCTGGAGAAAGGTGGCACCAACACAATTTGAGTTGGAGATGGGTTAGGTTAGAGGGCTTAAAATTTCAAGTCCTGAGCTACTAGCCACCAACAAACAGACATCTGTACACACACGCACACACATACACGCATACACACATATACATGTACATACACAGAAATACACACGCACAGACACATGTACATACATACACAGACACATGTATACACACATAGGCCCATACCGACACGCATACACACAGATACATGTACATACACAGAAATAAACAAGCACAGACCCGGTACATACATACAAAGACACGTACGTACATGTGTACACTCACAGACACATGTACATACACACAGACATATGTACAGATACACACATGTACATACACACACATGTACAATTGTACATGCATACACAGACACACACAAACACACACGTACACATACAGACACACACACACCATAAAAAGTTGCAGTACTTCGTTGTTCACTCACAGATCCGGGTACTGCACTCTAGGGGGAGGCAGAGAGCACAGCACACACTCCTTGCTTTGCTTTCACTGCACTCAGCTATTCAGCAGTCTGATGGCTCCCAGTGCCAATGACAGATCCGGCCTGAGCTCCGAACCTGCTCAGCAGGACGGCCCTAGGGGACACACTCGCCCCCACCATAATTTCCATAGGCGAGTGGAAATTTCAAGCCCTGGGTTAGGTTTTGTGCCCGATTCGACACCAATATACGACACCATATTAGATTGGATATCTCCAAATAAACCAAAAATATTAGAGACCAAAAATCTTATAACACCCAGCCAGCTCAGATTGGATAATGAATTTCACTTGAGAGAGTCAGTTTAATATTTGTAAAAATAACAAAAAACATTTTTTCAGTTAATGAAATGTTGTTATAGTTTTGTAAATGTGGTTTTTTAAATAATATATATATATATATTTTTTTTAAATTTAAAATCTTTGTCATTTTGTGAAAGAGACAGTGATATAATTCTGTCAAATTTTGGTTTACGTCCCATGTAAGCAGGTTAATAACACCGAAACATGAAAAAACAGGCGTGTGAATTTATATATGTCATTTCTTTGTAGGTGATTGGAACAATCCAGATCCCCTGTCTTGTGCATCTTCCAGCTGTTCTGTTCAGTCTCCTTTGTCTGTTGATTCACCACCCTCTTCATCACAGTTTGTGCCGGTAAGGAGTTTGTCACAATAATATTATCTGCATGCATATGTTAATCCCATGCCAGCTGCTTACTATTAAAATTATTTGTTTTGGACTATAAATTAGACAGCATAACCAATTATGTTATTGTGAGGGGGCCCACAAATGAACCAAAAAGCCCTCCACTAGAATGGTGTGCTGTACAGGATTGCCTTCTTAAAGTGGAACTTTAGTCTTAGGAATTAAAATTGGCAGACAGGCAGGATTTTTATTGTAGAAGAGACATTCTTTGTCTCTTCTGCATTAAAGGTATTTACCTGCTTGTCCACCTTTTGTAGAGTGAGCTGCGCATGTGCAGCTCACTGTACGAATTCGGAAATGCCGAAGCTGACTGAACTCCCATGTATGCGCAGGAGTGACGTCATCCCCACCCTGCCAATGACAGCGGCCGGCGATTGATACCTGGGCGGGGAGCTCGAATGTGACAGGTACCTGCTCCCACTTCCGCGGAGTTGTCCCCTCCCTCCCGCCCTGTAGTCTTGTGGGACACGTAATCGGTCTCACAAGACTACGGGGCCATTCCCAAAGGGCAGCGCTACTTGTGCATGCACAGTGGGCACCCGGCTGTAAAGCTGCAAGCTGTCGCAGCCGGGTGCCCACACTAAAGATGCCAGCGCTGGGGAGAGAAGATGGCCAATGGAAGCAGGACACCGCTGGACCGAGGAACAGGTAGGACAGAGTAGCGGGTTCTTCTGCACTGTAGAGCCTAGCGGCTGGCCTGGAATTCTAACATGACGGTGGAAGTACCGGGCTGGCCACTACATATTCGTTCCATAAGACACACAGACATTTTTCCCCATTTTTGGTGGTGAAAAAAGTGTGTCATATGGAGCGAAAAATTAAAACTATCTCATGAACTGGCTTCTCAGTCTTAGTCCGTAGGGTTCAATATGCAGTTGGCCCTTTGCGGTTACAACAGCTTCAGCTCTTCTGGGAAGGCTGTCCACAAGATTTAGCCCTCATGCACACTGGACATTTTGATAACGCTGGTAACGTTAGCTGTGTAAAGTCACATTTAAAAACTTCAGTTTTTCAGCTTTTTTTTTTTTTTTTTTCAGCGTTTTTTTTGCTTTTAGCGGCGTTTTTCCGTGTTTGCATTTTTTAGCGGTATTTTTTTTACCAAGGAAAAAAAAAACATTTTCTTTTTGGTAAAAAAAAAAACTACAAAAATTCTGGTTTGCGGTGTTTTACAACGTTTTGCTAGCGTTGGAACGTTTTGACAGCTAAACTCTTCTAGAGTGGGGGGTTTCCAGCCAAAAACGTCCCAGCCAAAAAAAACGTTGATTACAGTCTGTGTGTATGGACACATAGAATAACGTGCTGGGGGGTTTACTAGCTGTAGAAAAAAACGTCAAAAGCCAAAAACAGCAGCTGTAAAAACGTGTGCATGAGGACTTAAGAGTGTGTCTAAGGGAATTGGGAATTTTTTGATCATTCTTCCAGAAGCACTTTTGTGAAGTAAGGCACTGATGTCTGACGAGAAGGCTTGTAGTCTCCATTCTAATTCATCCCAAAGGTGTTCTATCGGGTTGACTCGATGCAGGCCAGTCAACAGGTAGCAACCTATCACGGTACGCTTGAATTCACTGAGCTCCCTGAGAGTGACCCAATCTTTCACAAATGTTTGTAGAAGCAGTCTGCATGCCTAGGTGCTTGATTTTATACACCTGTGGCCATGGAGGTGATTGGAACATCAGAATCCAATGAGTTGGAGGGGTGTCAAGAGGGAGATTGAGAGAGAGATCTTATCTGTTAGGGAGCTCGTTAATGGTGGGCTCCCATGCACATAAAACATCCAAAAACAAATGAGAATGAGATCTCCAAGTAGCAAAAATTCTTTCTTCAAGTGTATCTTCATGCAAAAATTAGCGCAACTGCGCAGTTTCAAGCATAACACTGGTTTTCATCAATGGTAGCTTGGATGGATATATATAATTTGGACTGAAAGTTGTCTGTTTCCTTCTGAACTGGACTATTTTTAAATGTAACCTTTCTTCAACCAAGGTCTTCAATAACTATTAGCAATTTAATTGCCCTTCTCTGAAATGTTTCCAGTTCTATCATATCCTATTTGTGAACTGGTACCCCAAAGTAAACTGCACATTCAAGACAAAGTGTTACTTATTTTATTTTATTGATACAAGAAAGTATTATGTTCTCTATATAAGTTGCAGTCTGTGATCTACAAAGACACCCAAATGCTTCTCCGTCATTGATTCATTCCTTTTTTCCTCCTCCTTAGATTATGATGCATTTAGGCTTTTAGCCCCAAATTATCCACATTTGTTCCTCATTTGCCATGTATTTGTCCATGCAACCAGTGTATCCTGGTCAGCTTGCAAGTTGCAAGCTTTGCATAGTTTTGTGTCATCTGCAAACACTGAACTGTCACATTTTACAAAGAAAAAATATAATGTCCCCAAAACAGAACCTTGCGTACATCGCTTTTAACTGTGAACAAGCTACTAGGCTTGGCAGCTACTGAAACAAGGTGCTTAGGAGATGTAATAATGAAATCCTGGAAGCCTAAGAAAAATCTCAGTAGAATGGTCACACCTATAAGCAAATCCTCCACATCTTTTCCTACAACATATATAATGCTGGTACAGGAGTGGTGGGTCACAGATTGGCTTTGAATGTAATAAATATTGTCATTTGTGTGCATTAGTACAGTTAATGGAAAACAATATTTTTGCAATAGTTCCATTGTTTTTTAACCTCCCTAGCGGTATGATTATGGCAATATTTCTGTGCTCAAAGCGGCACCTTTTTTTGCATGGAAATATGTCGTTTTTTTTTTATTGTAGGCCTGTAATTTTTAGTAATGACTCACTGAAATCTGTCCGAACAAGAGTCTAGTAAACATCCCAGGTATGATAAAATTTTTGAAACCTGAAATCATAAATTATAATATAATAAATAATCATAAAAAAAATATAATAATTTTAATTCAATAATAATCAAACCAAAAACACTGAAATTTGAAATATAGCGCCAAGTTCGCACATCACTGAGCTTAGTCGCAAAATCGTTTTCAGTGTCTGATGACGAATTTTCCCACGAATCATTATCACTCAATTCTACAAGTGGTTCTGATTTACTATCGCTGTTCTCTAGGTGGTCTAAAACTGCTTTTGACCTAAAGGGACGCTTTTTAGACGCCATGGACTTTACTCAGTTTCAAGGCAGAAAGAACAGTAAAAATGTAGGCAGGGCACAGGACAAAGCACTAGGGATAAAATGTATGTGAAATGGTTTGAAACAGTAATATTTTACTCTGTGATTTTAGTGTATTTTGTGAATGTCACATTTTAAAATTTATTAATGTCCCGCCGGTTCCGGCCCCTGTATGTTCCGACACTCACAGGGACCGGATGCTGGCATCGGCTGGAGGAGATGGCCAGGGACGCTCCAGGGGGCACATCGCGGGAGCGCAGGACAAGGAAAGTGAAACTGGGAATCCCTGAGCAACGCTGCAGGGTAATCCCGAGTGTAGCTCGGGGTTACCAGTTTTGGCACTGATAATTAACCCCGAGCTACACTCAGGAATACCGCCAGAGAGGTTAAGGTGTCTTTCTCATATCTGTACACTTTTTTTCTTTTTTTTTTTTTTTTCTACAGCCATTAAAGACAGACATGAAATTTCAAATCATAGACACACACTTTTCTACCAGCGTCAGTAAGAATGCTGATACAGTCATTTAGGAATACTGTTCATTTGGTGTGCCTGTTTTATGGCTCCAAAGCTATTAAAAAAAAATGTGTAAAGAATGCCACAAAACAAACATTCAAATCTATGTAAGCCTTGCTTGAATACCAGAATGCAGTACAGTGATATTTATTTTTTCTATGTTGATTTTTTTTTTTTACTTTCTATTGCCAACATTTTGATGATGTTTTTCTTATCAGGCAATTCATTTTGGAATCCCTGAAAATAAATTATGACTTTTTTTATTGGGGTATAAGGCAAAGGTATTTTAACAAATAACCGCACAATACACTTACTTGATGGTTTGTGCTCACCCCCTGCCCTTCCTCAATGACTTATCTATGTTATCAAATTCCTCATATTGGGTCCGACTCATCTCTAATATGGTTATCTCCATTCAGATACTATAATGTGTCTGTACTTCTCTTGTCCTAATGGGAGTACAAACTGTCTGCTGGCTTAAATAAAGATTGATGAATGCACACACAGAGGAGGCTTGACCAGATGGTGAAGTATTTGAAGAAGAGTCTGTAAAGGCTCTGCAAGACTTTTTGAATTTCGATTCATGTATGGGCTGGCTGGGTGTACACAAGTCAATCTATCCAGCCTGTTGTTTTTTTGTTTTTTTCCCAAATGACCAGTGCTGTCAGCTCTGGGCTTCCCGCTGTCAGACTACAATACCACAGTGGGAAGGATGCCCCTAATCGACACAGGTGAGAATTGGCTTTTTTTTCTCGGGGTCAAGTAAAGTAAAATTTTATAAAATGCCCTTGGATTTTATCATCTGTAATGTAGTTTTCCATTCACTTTGTTACAGGAAGAGACTGATATTTCCTCCAGTGTTCAAATGTCACCAGTCTCCTTATACTCTGAAGCTTCTAGAAGTCCAGTTCACCAGAACAGTCTGACGAGAATCTTGTAGTCGCAACACCCACTAAAAGTATGTTGCCTTCCTGTGTTAAGAAAAAAAAAAAAAAATACTTGCAGTGGTGTTCACTTACCTCAGTGGTTGGACTCTTTAGGTTTTAAAGGCCATACAGTATTTTCCCCTTAGGGGTGATATGACCAGCTCTTTTTTTCATACAGAATGTGAGTGTACTGATTTCTTTTTTTTTTTTTTAGTGATTTATTTATTTATTTTTTTAAATAAAAGGGTTACAGTGAGTACTATGAAGCAATGTTTTCTTGATCCGAGTGGGGATGAGAGTGGTTGAGATGTCTAAAGCAGGTTATGCATAAACCAAAACTTGGCATTAACTGGCCAAGTTCTGGTTCGTGTTTACCACTGTCCGTTCAACAGACACTGGTTTAGTGATGCTGCAGTGCTGATCTGTGTATTCTGACAAGGAGGGGGCAGAAGTCCCAGTGGGAGTTCCTGGAGTCAGAATGCAAGACACAGTGGGAGAGAACCCTGCTTCAACATTTTGTGTTGATGCTGTGGGGGTTTTTTTTTTTTTTGGTTGAATAAAGACTCAATGTGTTTACCCAGCTTAAGAAATATCAATCCTTAAGGAGAAAAGAAGCTGTTGAGGTGAGTGCACATCCATTATGAAAAGAGTGGAGACTTGCGGGAGTGGAGCACGGCATGGGAAGAGTGCATGAAGAAAATATTGTGATGGATGTGGATTTTTACATGCATTTGTTTTACACATGTTGATTTATGGATATTCTGATGTACACATTCAACTTTTTGCACATTTATTGTTTATGTACAATTTTGTGACCAATTATTTTTTTTCCTACAGTTGTGGTTTATTGATTATCAGAGGCACATTGTTTGCTTTATTCCCTAATTATATGTTTTAAAGTATATTTAGTAGACTGGAGCACCAGGTATTTGTTATAGCGCTGCACTTGATTGTTGTTAATTTTATATGTTGGTGGAAATCACTAGATAAGTGCAGGCTTGCTATTGGGTAAGAGGAAATACTAAAGCTGGCCACTGAATTCCAAATGCAATTTCGAATGAAAAGAATGCTCTAAAAAAATGTTTTTCCAGTTATTGGTGTGACAGATCGAAGTTTTTGTTTTCGATCATAATGACAAGAAAAATTGAAGGAACAGGATGGAAAAATTTTCTAGAATTAACAATTTTCTAACTGTATGTGCTTTTCTTTTAGGACAGTCCATTTTTTTCCAAAATCAAGTAAACAAAATCGTTCAAACTACATTGACACATTTTTTTAGAATGTTTTTAGAGAATTTACGTGCAAATTTTCCTAAGACTATATTCCTAAGAATTTTCATTTGAAATTCTATTCACCTATGGCCAGCTAAACTGAGTGGGGATTTATCTTACTAATGTCATACAATATTTTGGACTCCTTTACCCTTTATCTAAAGACTTGCTGACAGCCTACAGTACGTTTTACTATGGGCGGGCTGCATGTACAGGCAAAGTGATGTACCCATACATCATTTTGCCTGCACAGACACGAGGGTAGGATTACGCTGCATGACCCTCTTCCCCAGGACCCATGGGACACAGCAAAATGCAAATCCTGTTACTCTGGGGCTGGTGATCATCTAACTGCGATACGGTCACATGATCACAATTTCAAAAAAGCTGTTATGAATCGGTATGATTCATTACAGTCTTGCTTCCTTCACTAGTGAGCCTTGATTGTCCCACAGCTATTACATGATGCCTGGGCCAATCACAGCAACCTGTACCATGTGATTAGCTGTAGCTAATCACAGCTCACTACTATTTACAGCTGGCTTGAACTTAACCCTTTCATGACAGTTCAAAGCATTGATGGTACAATGATCTTCATCGTACCAGCAATCAAAGTGTAAAAAAAAAAAGTCTGATCAACCTTGCCCCCAGAGCAGTAAAATGTTACTATGGTAACATTGAAATACTAATTGAAATAATTTTAAAAATTGTGAAAAAATACAAAATGTTAAATTAAAAAAAATATATATTTAAAATATTGGAACAAAACCATTATTTAAAACATTTATTTTTTATTTTTGCCCATTCTTCTTTGCAAAATAGCTCAACCTCTGTCCGATTGGATGGAGAGCAACTGTGAACAGCAATTTTCAAGTCTTACCACAGATTCTCCATTGGATTTAGGTCTGGACTTTGACTGGGCCATTCTAACACTATCTAATGTTTAGGGTCGTTGTCCTGCTGGAAGGTTGACCTCCACCCCAGTCTCAATTCTTTTGCAGACTCTAACCGGTTTTCTTATAAGATTGCCCTGTAGTTGGCTCCATCCATCTTCCCATGAACTCTGACCAGCTTCCCTATACCTGCTGAAGAATCCCATCCCCACAACATGATGCTGCCACCACCATGTTTCACGGTGGGGATGATGTGTTCAGTGTGATATGCAGTGTTAGTTTTGCGCCACACATTGCATTTTGCTTTTCATAATCTTCAATTATGGTCTCATCTGACCAGAGCACCTTCTTTCACATGTTTGCTGTGTCCCCCACATGGCTTCTCGCAAACTTCAAACAGGACTCTTATGGCTTTCTTTCCCATCTGAGCTGTGGATCTTTGCAGCTCCTCTGGAGTTACCATGGGCCGCTTGGCTGCTTCTATGATTAATGCTCTCCTTGCCCGGCCCTTCACTGTGGACAGCCATGTCTTGGTAGGTTTGCAGTTGTGCATACTCATTCCATTTTCAGATGATAGATTGAGCAGAGTAAAGGGGGCTGAATACAAATGCACATCACTCTTTTTCAGATATTTATTTGCAAAGAATTCTGAAAACCATCTTATTTTCCTTCCACTTCACAATTATGTGCCACTTTTGTGTTGGTTTTATCACATAAAATCCCAATAAAATACATTTACGTTTTTGGTTGTAACATGACAAAAGGTGGAAAATTTCAAGGGGTATGAAAACTTTTTACAGGTACTGTAAATCTTATTTGTATATAGTGTTGCATGACTGCGCAATTGCCAGTTAAAGTAGCACAGTGCCGAATAGCAAAAAATGGCCTGGTCATGAAAGGGCTAAAACTGAAGTGGTTAATTTGAATTCCTTATACTGTATTTACCTTTTTACCAGAGCAAAAAGTCTAATCAGAGTTGCACCATAATATGCATGATAGAACCAAACAAGAATTCATATGGATTGCAAATAATAATGTACATATCCCATAAAGCAGAGAAAACAAGTCACTACTAGTTACTTGTACTATCAGCAGCGCCACCTCTAGCAACTGAGCACATGGAATAATTACATATAGCCACTATATGAGACCAGAACTATTCATTTTATTCCTTATGTTTTTAACTGAATATTTGGCTACATCCTTAAAGCTCAAATCTCTGTATTTTTATCTTTAGATAATGCACCAGTAAAGAAGAGAAAACTTCCACCTGTGGTGCCAAAGGCAGCTATTCAGCCAAAAGCCATTCTAATTCCTAACACTGCAAATATCCAGCCCGCCTCAGGAACCACTGCTAAAACCATTATATTTCAGCCACTTACAACACTGATGTCAAAACAGCAGCCACTGATTGCCATTCAGCCAGCACCCCAAGCCGGTAAGCAAAGTTGGTAGCTGTCACAAATTATGTTGTACTCTCCACTTAGGACCATATCACCCAGTTATATATATATATTTTTTTTTTGTTGAAAGTTACTCACCTTCTGACCAAAATGTTGCAAAAATATTGATCATTGTTAAAGTAGACAATCGGTAAAATCACATTTAGGATTTAAAATGTCAATGGGGGGAGGGAAACTAACTTGGTGTCACTGACACCCCAGTGACACTAATGCAGTAATCAGTGCTAAAAAAAAAAGCACTGACTGTACTAATGGCACTGGGCAGGAAGGGGTTAATGTGAGGGGCGATCAAAGGGTTAATTGTGTGCTGTGAGTGTTTTACTAGGGGGCGTCTTCTTCACTGTAAGCACACTGATCAGGATGGCTGTATTGTGCACAGCCATCCCGAGCAGTGTGCTTGAGCTGACAGGGAGGAAGATTGTAAACAAAACAATCTTCCTCCGCATCGGAGATGCTCGGTAATCAATGGGCGCCATCAGGTAATTACCGGTCGGGACCTGGTAGATCGCGCGCACCCCCTACCCACAAATGCAAAATCATGTGTATATATACGTGATTCTTCGCACAGGTGCCACCTTGCAGCAATATATCTGCTAAAGGGCGGTCCTTAACCCCTTGACGCTGAGGTAACACAAATACGCGGCCTCACAGAACTGAGCTTTTTTTTCCGTGAGGCCGCATATTTGCATACCTGTTTTTCTGATGGGAGCGTGCCGTACGGCGCGCTCCCAGCACAGAGACTGCGGTGTCACTGAGAGCAACGGGCCCATTCTAACGATCGGGGCCCGGGACTCCCGAATTTGGGTCACATGATCGCTGTGATAGCCTCTGATTGGCTTGTCACAGTGATCAATCACTGTAAAGCCCGACCCCCTTTGTTTTTTTTTGTTTTTTTTTTTCTCTCTATGAATGGAGGAGAGACATATGGTACATAGAGAGAGAAAAAAATGTAGGAAAAAAAAAGCTAAATAAATATAAAAAAATACCTAGATCAAGTTCAGGGTCGGGGTCAAAGGTCAGGATTTAAAAAAAAAAAAAAATTGGTGTTAGTGCACATTTTGTTTTGTTTTTCACACTGACACTATTGTTTCTGGGCTGTACTATGGGTACAAACAACAAATAACATACACATATATGGTATCACTGCGATCGTCAAGAGCTGGAGAATTTATTTTGAGTTGTTCTTTGGTGGTAGGTTATAGTAGTAACAAGAAACACACCAATAAATTAAAAAAAATAAATAAATTTTACTATTTTGGGCCAGTTTTCCTTTTTGATAATAAAAAAAAATCAGGAGATATCCATTACCATTTACCACCAAATGAAAGCCCAATTTGTCCTGAAAAAAACAAGCTATAATTCACCTGGATGTACAAAGTAGTTGTGATTCTATGTTCAGTTTTACTAACACATGTCAACATTGCAAAATTGTGCTTAGGCATTAAGATCTGTTTTGCCCTTAGGTGTAAAGGGGTTAGGCATTTAAGGGTAAGTTTACTTAATTTAAAAATAATCAATGCTAATTTTTTTTGCAGTTAAAAAATGTGCATTTATTATTACTATTTATTTATTTTAGCCTGTAAAGCATTGCATCTGCAGTTAGCAGATCACGGATGCAGTGTCAGGCTCCTGCAAACTGTTTGTCCGTACCTCCGATGCAGGCAGTTCCAGAATGACAGGAAGATCAATGAACTACTTGCAGCGCTCATGGGGGTCCTGATAGTTAATTGAGAACTACAAACCTACAGCTGCAAAGACTGACGGTACTTGTAGTTCATTAATTCACAGAACTCTGTGAATGAGTGATGCGGCGGTGCGGGTGGAGCCCCACATAGCTGCTCTTTTTGAACTGTGACAGCAGGTTCTGGTGCTGGTGGTGGGGGGAAGAGCAGGCAGATACTGAACATGTTAAATGTTAAAATGGGTGTAACTCCTTTAGTGAGTTCCACCTTGAACTTGTTCTGATTACTTCCAGAGATGGTGGGATGCGAATAGGTGGAAAACAAGAGAGACCTCTATACCCCCCCTCCAACCCAGGCCAGGGGAGTAAAAGTAATCAAATTCAGAATTTCTTGGAGTACATTTTCAGTTCTCCACAAGGAAAAACACTTCTCTTTTGTTCTCTGCCCTAACCTAGGCAACATACAACTGACTTTACCCAACTGCCTATTGTGACTGTTCATAAATTCCCTTACTATTCTGAGGTTGTACCTTTTTTTACCATTTAATTAGTGAATCCAGGCTTAGGAAGACAGCCCTGGATTCTGCACTTCATAATAAGGCAACAGTGACAGATTCTGCATTTTCGTCATTGTAGGCGTTTTTTGTACTGTGGTTTATAATATTGTATATGTTAAACCAAGTTAGTCTTAACCTTGCCTACAATCAATGAAATCATCTATTTCTCTTTTTTATTGTAATAGATCATTTTCCAGAAGCTGCACTGATATATTCTGAGCAACTTTTTTGAAGGCTTTAGAATATTTTGTTGTTTTATCCACAGGACAAGTTGTACTTGCCCCGTCTGCAGTTGTTCAGCTCCCTACATCTAGAATTGTTGCAGCACAACCTGTCGTGGCTATGAATGGAGGAGCAGCGTCACTCACAGCGCCATCTGTAAATATACTGCCACAGATTGGACTTAACCATGACAAGACAACACCAGTGAAATCTTTTATTCATTCATCAGTTCGAACTCCTGAATGTGAAACAGATGTAAGTTGATCCTAATTTTTTTTTTTTTTTACGAGGGATAAATATATTTATTTTGTACTAATTTATAGACTGCTTCTGTATTTTGCAGCCCTGCTCCAGACGGTTATGCTCTTTTTGCACTTACCTTTAGTCTAACAGCTTCTCATTATAGCCAATTAACATACCGTTTAGATTTGTTAGTTAATTGGGGCACTTGGAAGAAACACATTCAGACATTGGTTAACCTGTTAACTCAGCGGCGAAGGCTGCTGGTGAAAGGAAAAGGGGGGGGGGGGGGGCTTGAACACAACGTCCCTGCCCTGCAAGGGTACAGTGTAAACTAAATACATTTACAATGTAAAAATAAAAAGTTAACCTCAGACATGAAATATGAACAAGCATATACCTCTATAGTGTATCAAGAATCTGGCAGCTCCTCCCCAACATAATTACAAGAAAGAATGACCCCCTATGGGACTTTTACTGCCTTCCACCTGCCATATGAGGAAATGACGGACAAGCGGCGGTTCTCTCGTTCTGGGAGGATGTGATAGGACGTCCTCCCACTCTAACTGCGTGCCCCTGAGGGTGCACAGCGATCGGTGGTGTGCTGTGTCTCTGGGACACATCGGATCAGTGGAAAGAGCTGATGACGTTGCCTCTGTCATGTGATCAGCTGTGTCCAATCACAGCTGATCGCATGTAAATAAGGAAATGCTGGTTATCGACATTCCTCTCCTCACGAGCTGTCACGCTGACCGCTTGTGAGGAGAGGAGAGCTGGTAATCGGCATTCCTCAGAGGGGTTATGTACACTGATCATCAGGGCACTGATGATTAGTGTATCCCCATCAATGCCACCTGCCAGTGTCCATCAATGCCACATATCAGTGCCTACCAGTGCACATCAATGCCACATACAGTTAGGTCCATATATATTTGGACACAGGCACAATTTTAGTTTTTTCAGGTATTTTACAAAACATATTCAAGCTATAGTTATATAATTGATATGCACTGAAAGTGCACACTCTCAGGTTTAATTTGAGAGTATGTACATCCAAATTGGAGGAAGGGTTTAGGAAATACAGCTCGTAAGAATAGTCACCCCCCTCCCCCCCTTTTCAAGCGACCAAAAGTAATTGGATAATTGAATCAAAAGCTGTTTCATGGTCAGGTGTGGGCTCCTTCATTATTTCTTCATCAATTAAGTAGGTAAAAGGTCTGGAGTTGATTCTAAGTGTGGTATTTGCATTTGGAATCTATTGCTGTGAACCTACATCATGTGTTCAAAGGAGCTGTCCATGCAAGTGAAACAGACCATTTTAAGGCTTCAAAATTGAAATAAATCCTTCATAGGATATCAGCAACATTAGAAGTGGCCAAATCAACAGTGTGGTTCATTCTAAAGGAAAGAAGAACGCACTGGTGTGCTCAGCAACATAAAAAGGCATGGACGTCCATGGAAGACAACAGTGGTGGATGATCGCAGGATCCTCTCTATGATAAAGAAAAACCCATTCACATCATCCAGATAAGTGAAGGACACTCTCCAGGAGGTGGGCGTATCATTGTCAAAGTCTACAATCAAGAGAAGACTTCACGAGAGCAAATACATGGGGTTCACCACAAGGTGCAAACCATTCATAAGCTGAAGAATAGAAAAGCCAGATTAGACTTTGCCAGAAAACATCTAAAGCCAGGCCAGTTCTGGAAAAGCATTCATTGGACGGATGAAACTAAGATAAATCTGTACCAGAACGACGGGAAAAAAAAGTGTGGAGAAGGCTTGGAACAGCTCATGATATAAAGCACACAATGTCATCTTTAAAACATGGTGGAGGCAGTGTGATGGCATGGGTATGCATTCAGTGGCTTTCAGTGGCACTGAGTCATTGAGTTTATTGATGATGTGACAGAAGCAGTCGGATGAATTCTGCAGTGTTTAGAGACATACTGTCAGCCCAGATTCAGCCAAATGAAGCAAAGTTGATTGGACAGTGCTTCACAGTACAGATGCATAATGATCCAAAACACACTGCAAAAGCAACCCAGGAGCTTTTGAAGGAAAAGAAGTGGAATATTCTGCAATGGCTGAGTCAATTACCTGATCTCAACCCAATTGAGCATACATTTCACTTGCTGAAGGCAAAACTAAAGGCAGAAAGACCCACAAACAAAGAACAACTGAAGACAGCTGCAGTTAGAGCCTGGCAAAGCATCAGAAAGGAGGAAACCCAGTCTTTGGTAATGTCCATGGGTTCCAGACTTCAGGCAGTCATTGCCAGGAAAGGATTCTCAACAAAATAGTAAAAATTAACATTTTATTTATGATTATATCCATTCGTCCAATTACTTTTGAGCCCCTGACAATTGAGGAATTGTGTATAAAAATGGTTGCACTTCCTAAAATTTGTACTTGATATTTATCTGCAACCCCTTGAATTAAAGCTGAAAGTCTGCAGTTCAGATTTATTTAGATTTTTTTTTGTTTTAATTTACCGTATTTGCCGGCGTATAAGACGACTTTTTGACCCTTGAAAATCTTCTCAAAAGTCGGGGGTCGTCTTATACGCCGGTACACATGTTAGGGGGGCTGCGGCATTAAGTACAGGGGTTTGCAGGGGCTGATGTCTCTTACCTGGATCCAGTCCCACGACGATCCGGTCCAGGAGCGCGGCGTCTCCTTCAGTTCGGCCACTGGATGTTCGTGCGGCTGCTCGGCTCCGCCTCCTCACCGGTGATTGGCCGCCAGAACTGTAGCTCAGGAAAGGCACACAGGCGGCCAATCACCGGCGAGGGGGCGGAGCCGAGCGGCCCCGCGAAAATTGAGTGCCGGAGCAGCAGGTAAGTGTTCTGTGTAGAGGTGCTGCTGCAACCACATATGCTGGCTGCAGCAGCACCATACGAGAACAGGGTCAGCAAGTCTCAGTGGGAGGAATAGTGCCCCATCATTGGTGTCACTGATACCAATGATGGGGGGCACTATTCCTCCCACTGATACCAACGATGGGGCACTATTCCTCCCACTGACACCAACGATGGGGCACTATTCCTCCCCCCCACTGACACCAACGATGGGGCACTATTCCTCCCCCCCACTGACGCCAACGATGGGGCACTATTCCTCCCCCCCCCACTGACGCCAACGATGGGGCACTATTCCACCCCCCACTGACGCCAACGATGGGGCACTATTCCACCCCCCACTGACACCAACGATGGGGCACTATTCCACCCCCCACTGACACCAACGATGGGGCACTATTCCACCCCCCACTGACACCAACGATGGGGCACTATTCCACCCCCCACTGACACCAACGATGGGGCACTATTCCACCCCCCACTGACACCAACGATGGGGCACTATTCCACCCCCACTGACACCAACGATGGGGCACTATTCCACCCCCCACTGACACCAACGATGGGGCACTATTCACCCCCCACTGACACCAACGATGGGGCACTATTCCACCCCTCTGACACCAACGATGGGGCACTATTCCTGCCACTGATACCAATGATGGGGCACCATTCCCGCCACTGATACCAATGATGGGGCACCTATTCCCCCCACTGATACCAATGATGGGGCACTATTCCTCCCACTGACATCAATGATGGGGCACTATTCCTCCCACTGGTGTGCATTGGAAGAGGGGTAGTCTTATACGGCGAGTATAGCCCAAACACTACATTTTAGCAGGAAAAGTAGGGGGGTCGTCTTATACGCCCGCAAATACGGTATTCTGGTGACAAAAAAGTATGAAAATTGTGCCTGTGTCCAAATATATATGGACTTAACTGTATCAGTGCCCATCTGAGCTGCCTGTCAGTGCTGCCAACCAGTGCCACCTGTCGGTGCCATATGAGTGCTGCCTTTCAGTGCTCATCAGTGATGGCTGTCAATGCCCATCAGTGCCATCTACCAGTCCCTCCTCATCAGTGCCCATCACTGCAGCCTCATTAGTGCACATCAGTGAAGGAGGAAAATCACTTATCTACAAAATTTTATAACTGAAATAAGGAAAAAACTTTTTTATTTTTTTTTTTTTTTTTTTTTTTTTTTAATTTTCAGTTGTTTTTGGTTTGTTTAGCAAAAAATATAAAACCCAGAGGTGATTAAATACCACCAAAAGAAAGCTCTGTCTCTAAACAATTATAAAAATTTGGGTACAATATTGCATGACCGTGCAATTTGAGTTTATTGGATATTTTTTTATAACCAAAAGTGCAAAATATTGTGGGGTTTTTTTTTTTTTTTTCTTTTCAAAATTATCACAAAAATAAAGTGCACAGGTGATCACATACCACCAAAAGAAAGCCCTATTTGTGTGGAAAAAAAGAACATAAATTTTGTTTGGGTCCAGCATTGCACAACCGCACAATTACCATTTGAAATAGCGCAGTGCCGAATAGCAAAAAATGGCCTGGTCATGAAGGGGGTATATCTTCTGGAGGGCAAGTGGTTAAAAACATTGGTGCTTAAAATAAGATTGCATGATCCAACATTTGATGGTATGAGCAATCATGTGGAAAAGAGTGGTCACATGGGCATCTCATTAAGGTGTACATTTATTAAGCAGAGATAATTTATCTCATTTCAGTTCTCAGGGAAAAATCTTCTCCTCTGTCCTTGTTTATGAAGCGGAGAACATTTGATCTTGGAAAATTTTCCTCTGAGAACAGTTGAGATCTGTGTAGAAGGCGGAGGGCTACATGTGATCTCCTGAGATAGTTGTTACAGATCATCTGAGTTTAATCGGCGAAACCAAAGTTAAAAAGTCCATGCATTTACATGAAAATAATAAGCACTGACCAATGGTACTTTTTTAACGCACATTTTGGCACATTCTTTAAATGTGTATTTTGGCTCTTTTTTCATTGTGCATTTTAGCATTATTTGTGTGCATTTTACCACTTTTTAACATACTGTATTTTTTTTTAACGCACATTTTGGCGTGGGCTTTTTTAATGTGCATTTTGACGCTTTTCTAAACACACATGTAGGCGCGT